ATCCCCATGGCATTCAACGTGTTAACCATTTAAATTTTGAAATCGCATAAACTACTCCATTCATATATAACAAAAAGCAAACGAAATTATCCTGTAGTTTGATGAATAATGTTTGATCTTGGGAAAATTGATTAAAGTTGATGCTTCTTAAAAACATTTCTTTTGTTTTATTATTAATTATTAAACATATTAAATAAATACATACATGCGCCACATGCACACTAAATTGCATTACATACGACATACAAAATATTAAATATATATAAAATAGTTTGGAAACATCTGAATGTCAGCTTCAGAAATGTGGAGCAGAAAATATGGAGTTCTACTTAAGAATTGTGGTGTGACTTTTGCAAGGGGTTTCAAAGTCACGACACGGTCAGGTATCTTCCACCGTGCTATGTAGTATTTCATACCTTCTAATTTTTGTTTAGCGCATTTATTCGTATCACTATTTTTCAAGATAATTCGGGGTTTTTGATTCGGTCCTTATGCATTTTTTATTAAACTAAACCTATTTTTATGCCGGAAACTATTTGAGTTTTAGACCTCTGTTCACTGGGGTTTTTTTACTTAGTTTAGTAAGTTGTACACGCTCTATTATTTGTGCGCAACAATTTTGTTACATCCTGTATATTTGCGATCATTCTCACGATCCGTTGCGATTACACAGCGATCCTTGTGCGAGTCCTGACATAGCCTCTAATGTTTGGCAAATGACAAACGATCGTTGCCATAGCGTTCTGTCAATCACAGAATCGTTACGATCGTCGCTGCGGTGAACGTGACTAAAGCACAAAGACATAAAGTTCTCTTATTCTTTTTTGAGAGACAGAAGAACTTCGTTTCTCTGTTACTCCAAAACAATTTCTGCGGCGTCACTGCGGGATCGTGTCGCTCGTATGTATACAATATACAGCCCGTACGTACCGTGTCGCAACGTTTTTAACACGCTAAATTCCATGGGGGTTATCGGTGATTCCGAACCAAATCGAATTACTTATAGTTCACTCAATTAAACGACGATTATCCGAAGACATTTCTATATTATAAATAATACTACCTAATGCGGTAACATTCGGCTAGATGAACGTGCAATAATAACAATGCAATTCAATCAAATCATTTAATATTATATTTTTTCTATTTTGTATATTTTGCTCTATGAAATCGTGTGGCATTGAACGTGTTAAGCAAGTATCATTACCTGGCAACATGTCTCAAAAACGGTTAACAATACTAACTTAAGTTAACATATAAAAATGATGTACTTTTAATGTTTATTAGTTGTAAATTCATCTGTTAGTAGAGTAATATTGGTATTACATTATTCATATTCGAAATATGCAAAAATAATACAATGTAAAGTAATAGAACAGTAATTACAATAACATTTGGCCAGAAAATGAGATTTAGGCGTGATTCGAAAACACGATACGCTTCATGGAACATGTTAGTGACACAAGTGATCTTTACTCCCATTTCATATTAACTTCACAAGCACAGAATAGATATTATTGTTATATAACAACAAATTTTAGTTCTGCTGACATTACCCTATTTCCTTTTCCTGAGGCCATTTTATATTAGAGCCAGTAAAATTGCAAAGGTTCTGTTGCAAAGTAGCTAAAATAATACTTGGAGAGAAACGTCATTGGTAACGTTTGTTAAGTATTCTAAATCGATAAGCCAATTAATAGACTTGCAGTGGATAGTGTTAATATATCTTTTATGGTTGGAGGTTAAGATGGAGAAAACTTTCTTTAACCTAATTATAATGCGTAGATAGATAAAAGAATTGCTCATGAAATGCTCGTGAGTTAATAAAGTACCATTAGCATTACCATGCATGGAAAGTTGCGGAAAATTGAAGATTCTCACAATACGCGTATCTATCAACGAAACAGTCTTATTACTTACAATTTTCATAACCTTCAACTCATTTGTCTTCTCAGTCCGCTACATTTTCGAAATACGTATTCAACACATACTCGCTATATATCTGCTAGCAGCGCTATCTTCAAATATTTTATAATGCCGCAGACCGCAATAAATCTTAATCCTCTATGCGGCGCTTAATACGTATATCTCTTTTCTTCGAATTTATTATCATTGGTTCTATATTATTTGAATTCAGGAGTTTTATTGCAGTAGTATGTTCTTCCTTGAATATGAATATGAGTTCCTATTTAAATTTGTATAGTTGCGGACACTGCAGAAAGATTAGAATATTGTGACATATAGATTAAGATCCTCCGTAGATAAAAAGTTATGACTTTAGAACACTCTAAACTGCTTTTTACTACGCAAGTATTCAGAATTAACAAAAATTTCAAGGTTATTAAGAAAAATTAACATTGATTGTGAAGCAACTAATTAAATAATGTATAAAAATATAAGTAAAAAGATATAAAATTACAAAGATACATTTTAATTAATTAAATGTATCATTTATATGACACATCAATTATATTAGTATTTATCTTAAAAATGATTAATTAAGTAGAATTAAGTTCAAGTAATTAATATATAATTTTGAGTTTTGAATTATCTATTTTATTTATTTTTGCATAACTATATATATTGGGAGTATTTAAAGGAGATAAGATTAGCGATAAATATAGTAGCTAAATAAATTTTAAAGGGAAATAAAAATATTATTTGAAGACGGTCTAGGAATATTATCTTAAAACCTCAAGTACTACATCAATAATCAGAAAATTCGTGACTTGGTTGGGTTCGTCGAAGATTTTAATTCCTTAAGCGTTGATCCCGTGACATGCATGGGTACAACGAAATCACGAAGATCAATATTAAATCTTATTAATTTAATGGTTTGATTTTTCTATATAAACGAAAAACTTTTGCTAGTAAGAATTAAATAGCAACAATTGTGAATCAATAATCATGTTTACAAATAAATGGAAGCAAGACCAATATATGATTTGAAAATTCAATATTTAAGGGGTTAAATTATTAAGCAAAATTTAATTAAATATTATGTAACCTTAATGGTGATGCAAAATGAAACCTCCATTATAAAAAGTCCTTTGAAACTCTTTGAAGCAATGCCAATAGCAGTCTTTCCATGTACAAAAACTTATAGGATTTACATTGCCAATAAAGAAGATCAAATAAATGACACGTGGTTTTCCATATACTTTCAATATGATATAATGGAAAAATATTCGGCACCAAAAATTTCTTTATATTCGCAATCGTTTAATTTTGAAAGATGGAAATAATCTTTAAAGTTAGAGGTGAGAAACTTTGACAAAAATCTCGAAAACTATTAATTAGAGCACTACATTTTAAATCTGTAGTACGAAAATTATTTTTACATTACCGAATGCACAAAATATAATTTTCCCAAAAAGTCAACTAGTAGATTATATGGAAAACGAATGAAACCAAATCAAAATATGCATCAAATGTATAGTTTTAGTTTGCGAAACAAAAGAAAAATACATATTAAATAAATATGATTACATATCAGAAATAATTTCAGAGATTGTTTCATAAATAGAATAAGTGAGTTTTGAAGTTTGTTGCCTGTAACGTAAATCACTTACTTTTCTTGACTGAAATGAACTAGACAGGTCATTTTGAAAACTATATACAAAAAAATGAAATTTTGTCCACGAAACTTAATACATTTTATTAGTATACTAATTTTTATAAATTTAGTCTTACTTAATATTGTACTAATTTATATTAGAACCATGGATTTCCAATAACTTCCCACTTTTGGTTTTTCTACCTACATTGAAAGGTGATAATAGCGACAGTTTTTATCTTTTATTATTTCAAATTATCAATACTCAGTTTTCATTGAAAAATGTATCTCACCGTAATATTTCAAACTATCTGACTATTACATAAAGCCATTTTGTTGTATTAAGCTTTCTTATGTAATTTTTATCTCGGATTAACAAGAGGCTAGCACAACGTGGAATATTACGTATTGCTCGCGTGATCCATGAAGAGCGTAAGAACATTACGCTCCTAACGTATACTTTGCAGAACCAATCTCCATAAAATAGGATTTTAGTATGTATGTATTAAATACGTCATAAGAAATGCTAATCTTGTGAATTAAATGCAATTCAAGATCGAATAGAACCACTTCAAACAATAAAAATATAAATTTGTAATACATTTTATAGTAAAAAATGAGCAAAAGTATAAATGATTTTATAATAAGAAAGGAAACAATAGTAAAGCACCAAATATTGTTTCTATAAACAATTGGAAAATGAGCGTAAACAACATAGAAAGAAGAAAAAAAAGTGATACTTATCGATTGTACAACATTGATTTTGATCTATTGTACAATATGTAAATTCTCTCACTCACAAATTAAAAAAAAACTTTTCTATCATTTTCAACTATTGTATTTAAAATCACAATCTTTAATAGCCGTTCATTAATTTGGAAAACCCTGTTGTATCTTTTATGGCTAAAATTGAATTTTTTGGTATTGTTAGTTTCACATAAAAATATTTTATAATTGCTCAAAACCGCGTGTTCATAGAAACACTCTGGTTTTAAGAATTCGAACGTCTTAAGAATGGTATTATTAGTAATTCCCTAATCAGAGGAGAACTTACCAAAAAATTATTTCGTTGCAATTTATTATACTCGATTGGTCTCCAGTTCTCCTAAAAAGTCAAAAGTCAATGTTTTCTTCGTAAGCATAGGTAGTTAACACTTAGTCAACCGAATGGAGAGTTCTTTCATTTTTCCCTTAACAACGCATTAACCTTTCTTTCGTTTATTTTTTTTCTTTCGTTATTTAGTAGGTCTGGAACTGGGATTCTTTGCTGGTCATCACATACCTTTCTTGATGGTACAAAACACAATTTTTACTAAAATCAGCTGCATGAGTTCAATTGAAGTTAACGAGAAAGGTTATAGTTATAATTTTTGTTAGGGCAATCACCTAAGTGTTAAAATATATTTAATGTATTATTATTTAAAACTTTTGTTAACTGTTCCAGGGATTCTCCAATTGCATCGTCATCGTCATTCGTTGGTCGACGGTTTGGAGGATGGCGAACCAGTGTAAGTCACGAATACGTTCCTGTACGACAACCTGCTTCCATGGACGAACGGTGAGAAATTCTTTTTATACTTAGTTTCAAATACTTGAAATATTTTCCGCTAGTGGTACGATCAGATACAATAAAACTAAACATTTTAAACAGGAAAATTGAGTCGTTTAACATTTACTAATCGACTTAAATGTTAAGTAATTTGTTATCATTCGGTTTAAATATATAACGATAATAATATGGAAAAAAACAAATAAAAAAATATTTTACCAGGCAGGACATTATTATGTGCACATCGTATTATATATTTTATTTTATATTTTCTTTGCAATTGTAACTTTTAACTGAATCAATGCAACTGTTCTTTCTATGGCTTTCATAATTTCATTTCTTTTTTATTATTCTAGAAATACAAGTATCATGGTTATTTAATGTCCCTACATACTGTAGTTTAATAACTTTATTAGTCTACACTATATTGCCAAAAATGATTTGTCGAACAGGCTAACGGAGTTGGCATGTTATTTATTAAAATAAATCGACATACAGAATATATATTTTTACACGTCACAAATTAAAGTGTTAAATTAATTATTATCTTAACGTTTATACTACACACCAAGAAAAGCATAAAATAAAATCGTTCTAAACAATTTAACATACCTGACAGCTTCTACAGACCTACTTTTATATACAACAAGGAAGTTCAAGAGTTTAATTGTACATTTTTGTAAATGACAAGTGGCATTTAAATGAGAAATTGATATATGAAGTATGTTTCACAAATAATTAAAACGCAAATTAAAGTTCAAAAAGATACCTACTCCATCAATCATTATTGGATCGTGTTAAAGCATACATTACCTTCGTAGATTCAATGCTTTTCAAGACTAGTGTGTATATACAGCTTTCTATTTTTTCATTTATTTATTAATCACAATGAAGACAGTTTTTTTTTGAAGATATAAATGAAAAGATCGAAAATGTCATGTGTTTAGTATAAAAGCAATACAAATGACACTGTTCATTATTCATTATCTTTAATTATTCACTAATCTACAGATAATAAATTTCAATAAAAACCATATTCTAATGTAATATATTTCATCTACATAAAATATAACACTTGCGATGTTAAGAATATAATTACATTACTCATATGTTCAAGATCGTAAATCAATCAAATAATTACTACTAATACTATACTATCACTTCTGAATATTATATTTAAGATTAATATTTCAATGTTTTATTTCTTTAAAGGCCCCTACACTCATGCATTGTATAATATTTCAACATATGTAAGGGGCTTTGCGCAAGTCAAAATTATTAATACGACCAATAGAGAGATAATTTTATGGAAAATCTCAAAAATATACAATAAAATTCCTTCAAAGAATATCAATATCGAAAAATATTGAATTTGTATTTACAGTGATTTTTATTTACATGAATTTATAAAAATAAAATTTTTGATTTTATGTTTATTTTGTATATTTGTATTTACTTATATGTAAATATACACGCGAGACATACCTAAGTATATAAGTATGATTTTCTAATGTGTTAAACTACAATTCATTTTTCCTATTTATACTACCTGTATATATGAAAAATTATTTTATACAAATAAATTAATATTAACGAAAACTGTAATGCCATACTGTTATGAATTTTTATTATAAATTATCACATCAACACAAATGTAAATGAAAGGAAATATTGATAAAATTTTCTCTAAAATAGAACGCTGTAAGACAACATTTTTATTTGTAATTTTGACAATCTTTCGAAGTATACCTGAAAACATAAGTAAATAATTTTTAGAAATATAGTTCTACATGCATATTTAAGAAACATTGTTATTAAACTAATTGACAATACGTATAACTTAAAAAGTATTTTTATTCTCCAAAATTTCGTACTCTATACGTTTTTGAATAATAATTGTACAATCGATGACAAGCCATTGTTCTTATGTAATTACTGATTTCAATATTTTCGTAGAAGTTGGAAATATTTATAAAACAACAATATAAAACCGTTTCATTAGGTTTTTTAATTTTATGTCCGTATTTTTATTTTTGCAGATTTAAATCTTAAATATTTGGAATAACACAAACAACAATTTCCAAGCCGCTTCGATCAATTTATTAAAAAAAGGTATACATTCACATTTGTCAATTTTAAATACAGAATAGAGTAAGTTTAGGACATACTACCTAACTTGGATTATAACTTTTTATAAACACAAAATAAAATAAGCCCTTTTAAACTTATGAAATGTTGCATTAATTTAGGAAAAGTGTTTGAGTATTTTTTTAATCAGAAACAACAGAACTGACAATAAATAAAACCTTCATAATCTTGTTACTAACAATTAGGAGTCTCTCTGAATCACGACAATCTGTCAATAATGGTACACGTGAGACAGGTTAGGTCAGGTGTGGACATTGACGTATCGTGCAAAACACAGACGCTTAACTGACAGAATAATTTTACAGGAATGGAGCTTGTGTCAAAATCTGTAATGTTCATGTCACAAATCAGATAGTCTTGACATAAGTCGATATTACTGCTTCATTAATAGTAGAACTACCTAGCAGTACTGTATTGGTATTGGTTTTTTCTGTCCCCGCCACTTACCCAGGACTCACTGAGCTTCCGCCACTGAAAGTGGAGACAAAAAGGAAGGCCAACAAAAAATTTAGAAGACCTAACCTAGACCTAACCCAGACGTATTTATATAAGTGGCAGGCACAGAACAAAACAGTACCGTATTTTTTTATAGAAAAACTGTTTCGTATTTCCTTATACAAATTATGAGAGTACAATTTATCGAGACCTCGATTAATTAGGCTTGATACACACTATGGGTTAAGTTTCGGTCTACTCTCGTTTCGATCAAATATTTTTCAGTTATCTATAATACATGTGTTCAAACTATGAATTCCAGTTTAATCTCGTTTGATCTCGTACGATCTTCGTTCATGCAGAATAATAAACAAGAACTGAATTCTGAACGAAGTGTGAATGGACCGGGTGAGGACCGAGATGGTGAATCTCGGGACTTATACTTCGGTTTGCATATTGCTAAATAAATGTATTTAATAATTTCTTGCAGAAACATCTATTTACATTTCTTCAATACATACATAATTGTAACAGAAGAAACTTGAAATTAATCATTTTGACCTACCTGTTTAGGTAAATGTATTAGTAATAAACTATTTAAGGTTATAGTAAATATAAATATTTATATGTTTTAATAGCTAATATAACTAATATAAATACTTCCTTAAGATTTAGCTGATTAGTTATTCATATATTTACCTTACTTCTACTATTAAAGACAATATTTCCATCATTCATCCTTCTGCATCTCTTAAGATAAAAGGAAGACATGATTTTAAAAATGATTCCTATTTATATACAGTTTCACGAACTTAATATAATTTAAAAAATTTAAATAATTATAGTTACGAACGGAGAATTTTTGTTCGTGTATTTGTAGAGATATTGGAAATAGTTCTGTAATATTATTTTGCATTAACCCTCGGAGGTTTATTACTTTATTAAGTTATTCTCCTAGTTCTTTCAGTATTTAAATAAAACGCGTTCATCCTGCACATTACATACAGTGTTTGATATAAAATGTATTTTATATACACATTTTCGGCAATTGTTACATTTAAAATTTTACATGTACACGACGGAGTTCTCGAAAATGCGGATTTAAATTAATCCAATATAGTTCAACGAGGATTAAACAAATTCCATCCTTTCGACGCTTGTTCCTATCCAATTTCGGCAACATTTTTCAGTCTTCTGCACAGAACTTACAACTTTATTAAGTTAACTTTATTAACCTCACTTAGAATACAAATTTTAATCGACGGGAAATGTTTTCCGTTTTTCGTAGAAAATAGTCTACGTTATTTAATTCTATCATAGTTGTATTTTTCATCATATTCTGAGTTTAGTGTTAGTTTTGTTTTCGTATAAAGGAAAAGTAAACAAAAAATATTCAGTATTAATTTCAGTAATAACAATATAAACATGTAATACAAAATACACAATATTGTACACTTGGTAATTTATTGAATTTTGGCAAATAAATACCTTTTATAATATGGAACATAATTAAGCATCTATCATTATTTCTCTTTAGTATAGTACATCATTATTAGTGTTATTATACTTTTATTGACTTAACTTACAAACAGTATGAGTTTTAATAACTTAAAGATTTAGTGTGCCTAATTTAACAATTATAATTTAATAAATCAGAAATATTTCAATAATTAAGAAATGAAATCAAAATCGTAATTTCATTACTCTTGGTGTTCGTGTTTTTTTAGAATGCAGACTTCTTGAAAATTTGTTCCACTCAACACTCAGCATATGATCGCATGCTATAGGACACCAAAATATGACGATCCAACCTTTACGCGTCCTTGATACAGAATGAGCAATGTAAAACAAACTACCTGAAAACTCACTGGGCTTCAGTTACAGAAAAAGATTAATGAAAAAGTATAATATTCATAGCTTTTACGTAAGTGGCGATGCAGAAGGCTCTGAAGGTCAATTTTGTTCTTTGAAGTGAAATGATGTCTCATTAGTTACCGTATAAATCAAAATACATGTAAATAGGTAATACTTTAATAGTTAATGACTATGTATTCAAATTTGTTGAAAATCGATTACAATATAAAATAATAACTTCCAAGAACCTAACGAACACTTTTATGATCTTCTATTATTATTTATTTAATAATAATCTCTAATAAGCATTTTTTTAATAAACATTTTTTTATATTAACTTTTTTATTTTTTTTTTATTACTATGTAAAAACAAGCAAGAAATTCAAGTAACTTGTTTCGAATGCTTTGTTTTATAGTTAAACATACAGTATGTAGACGTACACCCAATGATCCTTAAATTTTTCTTTCCAATATTTATTTTTTGAAATGAATTCTTATTGAATTCATAAAATATGAATTCACGATATATAAGACTTTCAAAAATATTCAAGAATATTTTATCTTTAAAATAG